CGGAGAGTGAGCTCGGCATCCTGGACCTGATCCAGGTCAGCCTCCAGTTTTGTTTAAGACATTTACAGACATACAGACTCCACTGACTCTTTTTCTGTTTTTAGAGGCTTTTCTATCAACACAAAGTTGTTCTGAGTCATGATCACCTTTGTGCTATGATAAAACAGACAGGATTGGTCTCTCCAGGATAACAACCTAACCACCATGTACAAAGAATTACTACTTTATAGTGTTATAAATATTGGACAGGGCTCTCCACCAGCAGCATCAAAACTCCAAATGAGGGACTAATCCTTAAGACGAGTGTACACTGTACGATTTCAGCACGATTTAGTCCTCGTGTTTTGAGTCGTACGACTGATTTTGAAGTGTGTCTAAATTTCAGCACTATCAGACATCATTAATCGTGCAATTTTTGCCGGTGTGTGTATTTGAGCCTCGATGAGAAAACTGAAATCCACAGATCTGTTGGCGGTTGTACAGCGTGAGCTCTCATTGGTGGGACTCGACTTTGTTCCTTTGTTTACATTTGATCCTCTCTGTATTCATTCAGCTGTCCAAGCTGTTGAATAGAAGACACTTAGTTCCCCCCCTTGAGATAATAAATAAGCCCCTCCCATTATTATATCTGTGTTGGGTTGGTTTTAAAAAGCAGTCTGGTTGCTTTTTACGCTGCTGCTGGTAGGAAATGAAACTCTCCTTTCGGTGATCTCGTGGAAATTGTTCATGATAAGACGTCGTAAACATGTGAGTGGGGAAACCCTGATGTCAGAGACCCGGTCGTTATGTTCTCTCTTATCAGGTTAACTGGTCCCATGTGGGGAGAAACACACGACACATTACACTTCCATTAAAAACAAGTGCTCCATAAATGTGTGACAGAGTGACTCATCATGCTCTTCACAGCCAGTCGTTATGTCCCGGGTCGAGGGGAACACAGACGCGGCATGATGATGTCACACTCCGAAGAACGGCAGCAGCACTTCAGGTTGAACGTAGCGGAGCGGCGCCCAAAACTACAAACACAAGTTGACTACAGAAGCCCAAACCTTTCCTAACATGGAAAACAAAGTAAAGTTCCTTCTCTCGTCTCCTCAACAAAAAAACAGAAAAACAAAATGGCTTATGTTAAGGACGTCTGGCAGAGTGGAAGCAAGACTTTTGTGCAGGTCGGCCATTTTTATTCTCGCTAGTGAAGGAGTGATGTCTACCGGGAAACTCGGGGGGCTCATTGCATTTAAAGAGACACACACACCAAAACGGAGCGTTCTGAGAGAGCTGGTTTCTACAGGGTCACAAACCTCCTCTGGTGCTTGATTCATGTTATAGTTTGACCAAAGCACAGCACAGATGTTTCATTTAGACCACAGGGGACTGTTTGAAAAGGTGGAGGAGGGGACTGTTTGAAAAGGTGGAGGAGGACTGTTTGAAAAGGTGGAGGAGGGGACTGTTTGAAAAGGTGGAGGAGGAGGACTGTTTGAAAAGGTGGAGGAGGACTGTTTGAAAAGGTGGAGGAGGAGGACTGTTTGAAAAGGTGGAGGAGGGGACTGTTTGAAAAGGTGGAGGAGGAGGACTGTTTGAAAAGGTGGAGGAGGACTGTTTGAAAAGGTGGAGGAGGAGGACTGTTTGAAAAGGTGGAGGAGGGGACTGTTTGAAAAGGTGGAGGAGGGGACTGTTTGAAAAGGTGGAGGAGGACTGTTTCAAAAGGTGGAGGAGGGGGACTGTTTGAAAAGGTGGAGGAGGGGACTGTTTGAAAAGGTGGAGGAGGGACTGTTTGAAAAGGTGGAGGAGGACTGTTTGAAAAGGTGGAGGAGGACTGTTTGAAAAGGTGGAGGAGGAGGACTGTTTGAAAAGGTGGAGGAGGACTGTTTGAAAAGGTGGAGGAGGAGGACTGTTTGAAAAGGTGGAGGAGGGGACTGTTTGAAAAGGTGGAGGAGGAGGACTGTTTGAAAAGGTGGAGGAGGACTGTTTGAAAAGGTGGAGGAGGAGGACTGTTTGAAAAGGTGGAGGAGGGGACTGTTTGAAAAGGTGGAGGAGGGGACTGTTTGAAAAGGTGGAGGAGGACTGTTTCAAAAGGTGGAGGAGGGGGACTGTTTGAAAAGGTGGAGGAGGGGACTGTTTGAAAAGGTGGAGGAGGGGACTGTTTGAAAAGGTGGAGGAGGACTGTTTGAAAAGGTGGAGGAGGACTGTTTGAAAAGGTGGAGGAGGAGGACTGTTTGAAAAGGTGGAGGAGGACTGTTTGAAAAGGTGGAGGAGGAGGACTGTTTGAAAAGGTGGAGGAGGACTGTTTGAAAAGGTGGAGGAGGGGACTGTTTGAAAAGGTGGAGGAGGACTGTTTGAAAAGGTGGAGGAGGACTGTTAGAAAAGGTGGAGGAGGGGACTGTTAGAAAAGATGGAGGAGGGGACTGTTTGAAAAGGTGGAGGAGGGGACTGTTTGAAAAGGTGGAGGAGGGGACTGTTTGAAAAGGTGGAGGAGGACTGTTAGAAAAGGTGGAGGAGGGGACTGTTAGAAAAGATGGAGGAGGGGACTGTTTGAAAAGGTGGAGGAGGACTGTTTGAAAAGGTGGAGGAGGGGGGTAATATGTCCTCTTTAAAGGAGAGGGGATGATATGTTCTCTTTAAAGGAGAGGGGATGATATGTTCTCTTTAAAGGAGAGGGGATGGTATGTTCTCTTTAATGAATCATGAAGACATTGTTATGACTCTCGACGTCCTCTTCTCTGCAGGTGTTTGTGGAAACACTGGATAAATGCTTTGAAAACGTCTGTGAGCTGGATCTCATCTTCCACATGGACAAGGTGAGTGTGAACTCTGACCTTTGAGCGTTTCTGCTGCAGCGGCGAGCTCAGAGGTTACATGGCACTGCAGCACGGTTTGACCACATATGTACAACGTTCATACACAGGGATGACGCACTTTGTGGGTGGAGCCAAAGTGGTGGCAGAAAGTCAGCTAGGATTGATTTAATTGGTGATACGTCGGCAGAAGCTGATTTTAATGACCCTTGTTTACAATCAAAATAACGTTAAACATCCTACTTCGCTGCTCGCTTCCCGATTATGAGAATAGACATTAACGTTACAAGGAAGAGTTTATGGAGTCACAAAGTACGTTTGAAGAGATTTTGCAGCTTGTTCACAATGATGTAAACAGTGGTGACCTGTGAAGAAAAAACGAAACATGAATCCTGGTGGTTATGAATCTGATGGAAACTGGAGATAAAAATCAAGCAGTAACCTCCGGTGTTGAAACATGAAGCCGATGCTGAAGTGTAAAATCCTGCAGTTCCTGGAGTGTCCACTAGAGGCTGGCTGCAGAAGCACAGGAAGTCACATACACACCCATTCTAAAAAGCCTGTTTTTACAGCAGAGATGAACATGTTTACAGTCTGGTTCAAAAAACCAAATAGGTGTGATTAGCTCATGTCTGGATGGACACACACTGTACGGGGGGTGAATGTTTTGATGACTCATCAGTTTTGATTTGATGAAGGATAAGAGTTATTCACAATAAGGCGTGTAGCTGACCTGATTGACAGGTGGGCGCGGTGTAACGGTTTGTCAGGAGGTTTAAAACCCGCCTCAGCTCCAGCTCTCAGCCTGTCGTTAGGTTGACTCAAAGTTAGACTGAGACAGCATTTCCAGCATGGAGACCGCCATCGATGGGACTCCAGCGCCCCCTGCAGGAGCAAGTTCTTTTCAAAGTTTCTGTACTCTTGGATACTACAGATGGTTAAAATAATGAGACCGTACTGTTTTAAAAACATGTGGTATCACAGTCTCAAGCCTTGGTGTAACGTCAACAACCTTATTGTTCACACATCGACCTCACTGACGAGTTGTTCTGTGAGGCCGGCAGAGTTCAGACTGTTTAGTGTCAGGTTGAAGTGATTGAGACGTTTGGCTTCTCACATTCAGCTCCTCTGGGCAACGTCTAGATAAGCTCAGCTTTAACTCTTTAACATGTGATGTGGATTTAAGATGAGGATGAATGAGCTGTGAAGAGAAATGTAAAACATGAACAAGATGTTCTTACCTGTTCAATATTTCAATAACAAAATGAAATACACTGAAATTAAAGAATATAAAAGTGTGCAGATCAGGTAGAACTCACAAGCTGTTTTCACACATGCACTCCTGAAAATATCTAGATCATTTCAGGAGTCAGCTCACTCTGACCTTCTGCAGAATAAATACGAGGAGGCTGGAGGAGAAACTCCGGGTGAAGAGAGAAACATTCAGATGTTTGTGATCACATGACGCTCAGCATGATAAACTTCAGGAGGTTTTCAGGAGTTTTGTGCAGGTGTTTGAGGGCTAACAGTTTCTGTTCTTGTCTGCTCCAATATTTTTACACAACGTGTGTTTGCAACACGTCACTCTGCCTCAATAGTTCCTCTTTTTCCTGTGATTATTTCAGACTCTTTCCATGTGTTTACTGTGAGCATGTTCTGTGCAGCTCGATCATACAGCCAGCTGCTGTTCAGGAACATCTGCACAGAGAGAGTATCAAACTGTGATCCTCTGATCGCTGATCACATGATTCTGCAGCCCTGATACTCCCCCTCATCCTCCTCCTCCTCTTCCTCCTCCTCTTCCTCCTCCCCTTCCCCCTCATCCTCCTCCTCCTCTTCCTCCTCCCCCTCATCCTCATCCTCCTCCTCTTCCTCCTCCCCTCATCCTCCTCCCCCTCATCCTCATCCTCCTCCTCCTCTTCCTCCTCCTCTTCCTCCTCCCCCTCATCCTCCTCCTCCTCCTCCTCTTCCTCCTCCCCCTCCTCCTCCTCCTCCTCTTCCTCCTCCTCTTCCTCCTACCCCTCATCCTCCTCTTCCTCCTCCCCTCATCCCCTCACCTCCTCCTCCTCTTCCTCCTCCCCTCCCCCTCATCCTCCTCTTCCTCCTCCTCTTCCTCCTCCCTCATCCTCCTCCTCCTCTTCCTCCTCCCCCTCCCCTCCTCCTCCTCTTCCTCTTCCTCCTCCCCTCCTCCTCCTGCTCATCATCATGATCCTCCTCTCCTCATCTTCCTCCTCCTCCTCCCCCTCATCCTCCTCCTCCTCTTCTCCTCCTCTTCCTCTTCCTCCTCCCCTCCTCCTCCTGCTCATCATCATGATCCTCCTCCTCCTCTTCCTCCTCCTCCTCCTCCTCATCTTCCTCCTCCCCCTCCCCCTCATCCTCATCCTCCTCCTCCTCATCTTCCTCCTCCTCCTCCTCCTCCTGCTCATCATCATGATCCTCCTCTTCCTCATCTTCCTCCTCCCCCTCATCCTCATCCTCCTCTTCCTCCTCCTCTTCCTCCTCCCCCTCCCCCTCCTCCTCCTCCTCCTTCTTCCTCCTCCAATGGGAGAGCTCGTCCTCTGCCTGGGGGAGTCATGTTGTGAAACAGGAATAAAAGTATAAAAACACATCATTGTTGGTGGTTTCTCATTTCAAACATCACAGATAGTAAAAGTTAAACGGCCTTTAGTTTCTGTGCTGGTTCCTTCGATTGTTGCGGCTACAGCGAGGCCTCCCTTTTCTCTCTCTCTCTGGAGCTGGACGAGAAGTGTTGCTGGAAACTAATCAGACACATCCACGGCCATCTTGATTGAATTTTCCCAGCAGGAAATTGACATCATGTGGTGCGGTGGGGTTTGGCTTGAGGAATGTGCCAAGATGAGACTTTGGAAGGTTTCTCATAGACTCTCTCCTGGGCAGCACTGACCTGTGGAAGTGTTTCTACACTCCTGCAGGCGTCTGAAACTCAGTACTCGTCTGTCCTGCACAAGGGCAGACTCTAACGCCTCGTGTGATGTGTTAGAGACATCACTGATACAGTACAAGTGTTTGCACAGATAAAACATACGAATAAAGCTTTCTGAACTGCTGGAACGTGTGCAGCTCTCCACGTTTCCACTCTGTCATCTGTAACGTCGCTACAGGCCTCCAACAGAAGACGCTAGAAACATTTCCTGCCCGCAGGAATTCCTGAAATCTGAACTTGAAAGGGAAATTGAAACTGTGTGTTGGAGATGTTTCACAGACGTGACAAATCCCTCCAACATTAGATTCTGTACCTGCTTCATCCCGCTTGGAGCAGTTTTTTTTAGAACAAACACAGAGGAGTGGAGGAGGGATTGTAAATGAGCAAACTGTCTACAGCCTCAAACATCTGGTTGTGTTTAGGAGTCTGCCTTTGTGGGGTTTTTGTGTAATCCAGTTTTTAATGTTCAGTCCTCTATCTCAGGCGACACGGACCAGACAGCAGCGGTCTTATTTGTGATGGGGCGGTGGGCTTTAACCTTCTGGCAGTCCTCGACTACAGTGCTTAAAGTGTGGGCCGCGGCCCCCTGGTGGGCTGTGTGGGTACTGCAGGTGGGCCACCAATTTTAGAAATAACAGAAATATCACAATAATGATGATTTACCATGAATCAACACTTTAAGTGATTAGTGAGGTGTGTCAGGACTATTCATGGACATAATGTTCAGTAAACCTTTGTGTCTATCTTGTCATAATATCATGTTGTCATGTCCAATTATTTAACCCTTACTGAAAGTTATAGATGTAATCATAAACATTTTTTTTGTAACGGGCCCCGGAGTAAATTTGTATTTCAAAGCGGGCCGCGGCGGTCTGAAGTTTGGGAAAGGCTGCTCTACTAATGTCATGTTAAGATGTATGAAGGACAGTAAAACCCGAACTGCTGTGGAAAACACCCAAAAATGTAAACTTAAGTCACCAGCTGTGAGAGATCTGAGCCTGTTGTCTGGAGGCAAGGTGGTCGCAGCGTGGCGTTCTGTGTGTGAGTGACATGCTGTCTGCTGCAGAGCCTCGTTTTGTGTTAGTGAGCTTTCTTTGTATTGGTCCATATCCTGATGACTGTCTCCTGGGGTAACACCTCGAGAAGCCCCCTTCAGTCATGGAGATGTACTGTACATGGGCGCCTCGGCCAAATGTTTACAGTCATTGGACACCGTGTATCACTGTGCGTTGAGATTTGTTACTGGTTGTAGACGCTTCACTCATCACTGTGACCTGTACACTCACTCAGATTGGCAGGTATATACACTGGCTGAAGCTTATTTATAAAGCTCTTCTTGGTTTGGTGCCTTCTTATTTATGTTCAGACCTTCAAAGAACCAGAAGCCACTATGCCACTAGTTTTCTCCAAAATGACTTGAAAATGGTGGAGCTCATTTCGCCTGAAGCCTTTGGCTCGATCTTAAAAGATAAAATACGTGAGACAATGGGACAGTGCCTGATGTGTTTCTGAATTGTAATCTGTGATCAAGATTCTGCACTTTATCTGTAAATCAATTTGCACATTGTAAATTGTTGTTCTCTCCTAACTTATTGTTTGTCTCTTTTATCATGTAATGTTTTTGATGATGTGTGCTGCTGCCCTCTTGGCCAGGTCACCCTCCTGAAAGAGATCCTGATCTCAATGGGTTCTTTACCTGGTTAAATAAAGGTCCATCACTTTAAAGAGCGATGAGGATAGTAAACAATGTGAACAATGGCACGCCGTTTTGTTGTTTCCTGTGAAATCGTCTATAACAGCATGTTTTTATTAAAGATATCTAACAGCTGCTTCTGTCTGCAGGTCCATTACATCCTGCAGGAGGTGGTGATGGGCGGGATGGTGCTGGAGACCAACATGAATGAAATCGTGGCCCAGGTGGAGCTGCAGACCCGCATGGAGAAGTCAGAGGTGAGTCTGTGAGCCTCTCTTAAGGACCATGCTGATGTTTGTTTAGGGGTAACAGGTTCAGTTCTTCAGGTTGTTAAGGGGAAGTCCACATACAGCAGATAACTGTACGCTGTATTTTTAGATATTTTCACTTCCCTGTCCTTCAGCGTTATGTTTTTATCACGCTGTAACCACAGCGATGAAAAATGAAGACAGTGAGGAAGTGCAGAAAACTTCAGTTCCTCAATCGCGACTTGAGCAGTCGGAGCAAAAAAAAAAAAAGAAAAGATGCTGTGCTTGCTATCCAGGCGGCCCGCCTGCTCTCTCCTCATTGAAAACAACTAACTAACTAAAAAACGCTAGGTGGACACGTGGGCGGGGCTTAGAGCAATGCATACATTAGCATAGCTTGTGGCATGCTAAGTTGACGAGCGTCGGGACGTGTTGAAGCGGTTTCCGGCCCACTGCAGCTCCGTCTCTACGCCTTTTTCTAGATTGATGGAAAGTTAGGTTGAGGTGGCATTTCCAATATGGCCGCCACCATTTGGAGTTCAAAACTATGATGACAGCGTTCTGCTTGACATCTGATCTCTCATCCAACATTAGCCCCTTTTTAGACGGTGTCATCACTCCCACCTGATTGCTCGCAGTGAATTTTCCTGAATTTGCCCGCTCCAGGATGCTGTCGGGAAAAGTCCGGGAAACTCAGTCTGTTTGTGTTTACACAAAACATGCAGCAAAAAGTTTGGAAATGTCAGAGAATCAGAATCAGAATCAGGATCAGGATCAGAATCAGGATCAGGATCAGAATCTGGGTTTATTACCAAGTACATTTACACATAAAGGAATCTGACTTGGTGTATTGGTGCTAAACAATTAACAAGGAAATAAAACAGAACTAACAACAACTTAAATAATACAGAATAAGAAGATATTACAATATATAAAATAAAAAACACAAAATGTACAGAAGGTGTGATGTAGGAGCTGTGCAGTGGACTGAGACAAAAAAAGGAGGAGGAGAAAGAAGTCCTTTGTCCTCCTAAAGACGTGTCAGTGATCACACACACGATGTCCATGAACCGTCTTTAAAGCATGTTGTTGTTTGTTTTTTGTCGTTCTGCAGGGAGGTCTGTCGGCTGCACCTGCTCGCGCCGTCTCCGCCGTCAAGAACATGAACCTGCCCGAGATTCCCCGCAACATCAACATCGGAGACATCAATATCAAAGTGCCGAGCCTCTCCCCGTTCTGAACCGAGCGCTCCAGCTGAGCTCTGCAGGGCCGATGTCCTCCTCCTGACGGAGCTCCACCTCCACCCAGAAACAAAAAAACAAACTGTTTTTATATAAATGTATCATGGAACCACAGCAGCTTCATCTCCCTCTTCCTCCAGATGAAGAATTTAAACAATAATGTCATTTAGATTCTAGCATCTAGAGCAACATAAACATGTGTCTACCTTCTGCTGTACGCTCTGTGTTGATCCCCCTCCACTGTCTCCTGATGAAAAATGACCTGTGTTGGACTTTTTGTGTATATCCTGGCCAACTCTTCCAAACCCTCACCGGTCCTCCTGACTCAAACGTTCCCCTCCCAGCTGCCTGACGCAGAACACTTCTCTGTAATAAAATCCTCTGGCTTCTGTGTTGGTCTCTGTAATCACTCCAACACATCTTCATCTCCTTCTTCCAAGAGTGTGTGGTGAAACACTCCGGGATCGGACTCCTCTGCTCAGCTCTTGTCACACTTTTATTTTTCCTTCCTTGTGATTTGTGAATAACATGATTGTCCTCCTGGGTGCTCATCGAATGTGAACGCCAAGTTTGAGAGAGTTAGGATATCGCCAACATCTGTTCAGAGAAACAGCCGACGACTTCTTCTTCTATGGATATTCAAGTGTTTGTATAAAGTGTGTGTGTGTCTTATTGGCAGAATCTCTGTGTTACAAACATTCCTGTATTAAAGAAAGCAGAATATAAACGCCTGTGTCTGTGCTTTATTGTGCACCGCCCACTCGCCCACAGCAGCCTGGAGTTTTTCTTACTCTTCAGCAGGTAGTCGAGTCACTAAAGGCTCTGAACACCCTGCACCTCTGAGGATCACACGCAGCACTCTCTCACCACAATGACTTAGCAGTCTTGTTGATACAGCCGCATTCTTTCAGCTCCCCCTTTTCCAACCAATTTGAAGATTTCTGTTTTTTTTTTTCCTTTTCGAAAATTGAAGGGACTTTTTCCCTCCCTACAAAACGAAGCAGAAACCTGTGGTCGCTCTCGCCACCTCCCTCCTCCTCCTCCTCCTCCTCCCTCACAGATGCAGACTGAGAGTGTTTCACATCAGCCGGTGATCACTCCAGCTCAACTTCTCCGTCTCATGCCGGAGCAAAACCAGGGCTTCCAGTGGACATCCAGCGACGGGAGGGCTCGGTATGTACTGTTTTCCACTCGTCTGGCATGTTCATTTGTCCAACGTGGTCGAGGCCAAGTCACTCCTTTGGTCGCTCGTTTGTGTTTCCCTGAACAGCTTTTTGTAATATCCTGTTTGAGCTCTTTTTGGCTTCTGCAGAAATATGGAGCTGCTGCTTTCTCAGAATGTTTTCTCCTTCCTGACGGTAACATGAACACCCTCTAAAGTTAACTAAAGTTGAGTCTTTTTTGGCTGCTTTCAATTTCAAATGAAAGCTGGAACATACTGTAATCAGAGGAGTAACCAGTGATATGAAACAGCTGAGTGCAGCTCTGAGATGCTTTTGTGCAGGACTCCCTTCATCGTGCGCTTGAATTTTCCAGAGTGACTTTGTGGCTCTGCATGAGTTTCTGAGTTGTCTGTCAGCGTGCAGAGTGAACTGGATGTAAACCAATGCTGATCTGTAGAGTGTGTGCAGAGCCAAGACAACACACTGCTGATAGTTTAGATCCCAGGTTCATGCGCAGGTGGAACGATAATGCAGAAATGTTTCCTTCACATTCTCCAGATAAAATGAACTAAATAAATAAAACAGCGAAATAATAAAGAAACAAAGAGGAGACGATAAGTTACGCAAACAGAACGAGTAGAGCCGGTGAGGCAGGTGTGACCTCCTCCCAGCTGACACTCATATTCACACTCCTGTGCACAAACACTTTAAAAGTGCTGACTCCTTACACACTGCTCCCAGGACGGAGAAGAGGAGTGTCTGCTGGAATGATAACATGACCCACAGGGGGGTCACATGATTCCTCTGTTGTCATTTTTTCACTCCATTAAAAATGTGTGATTTTGAACCCACAGGATAAACATTCCCACTCACATGATTAGCCCGCTCTCAGCCGGCTGGAGGGAAGCTTCTAATCACTTTGACGTTAGACTTTTTTCTCCTAAACAGGAGGCAGATTAAGTTCAACGCTTTACCTGTTAACCCCTGCCAGTGCTGGACAAAGTACACAGCTTCACGACTTGAGTCAAAGTAAAGATCCTCCTCATCAAATATGACTCCAACACAAGGGAAAGTTACTCATTCCAAAGATTACTTCACTTAAAGGTCCCATATCCTCCTCTTCCTCTTCAGTTTAAATAAGTGTCAGAGCTCCCCAAAACATGTGTGTGAAGTTTCTTGTTCTAAATCCACTCTGATCCTGTATTTGATCATGTCTATAAACCCCTCTATTTCAGCCCTGCTCAGAACAGGCTGTTTCTGTGTCTGTACCTTTAAATATGTAAATGAGCTGTGTCTGACCACGCCTCCAATAACAAACAATATCAGGAAGAACCAAAACTACCTGATGAGTGCAGAATGCGGAAAAGTCTGCATGAAAATGTCACAAAGATTGTTAAAGTCTCTGTGTCAGGCTCCAGTCAGCAACGTGTTTCTAAATAAAGCACATCTTATCAGAAGTCTCTCCGTATCATATCACATCCACTGTAAGTGTCCTCAATCATTAACAGGAAAAGGAAGGTTTTTATCAGAGTGTACACACTCCCTGCAACATGAACTCCTCACACGGGGTTTAAATATTTAAAGGTCACATATTCTGTAAAATCCTCTTCTCCATGTTCCTCTAACATGTGTCTCTAGTGCGTCTACAAACCCCCCAATGATGAGAAAAGTCCATCCTCTCCGTCTTCTGCCTGCTTCACTTTTCAGAAAATGTGTGCTCAAACAGGCCGTTTGGAGATTTCCCTTCATGACATCACAAAGGGCAGTAGCCCCTCCCCCAGGTGGGTGACACTCCCACAGCTAGGTGTTTGTTCTGCCCTCTGAGTCTGCCTTCTCACCGTAAACAATAGGACATGGAGCGAGAAAGACCGAGTACACCCAAGACCTTCCAGAGAGATATATCCAGTCTGGCCTGTGAACGCCCCGGGATCCCCCCAGGGAGCTGGAAAACGTTGATGTGGAGAGGGACTTACTTCACCTGTTACATCATGACAGCAAGCTTAGCATGGCGTCAGAGGTTTGAACATTAATTGTCTTTATCACCAGATTTTTCTCATTTATCAGAGAGATGGCTCAGCTGTAAACACTTTGGAAAAACTCAACTCCAGTCAAAGTCCAAGTCGCAGGAGGAACTTTACCCTACTACAGGCTGCCAGCAATAACACACTAACTTCCAGCTCAGATTAATAAGAAAATGAGAGCATTGAAAGTGTTAAATATGCCCGACAGTTTTAATTCAATTTAATTCAATTTATTTTGTATAGCTTCAACTCATAACAAGTGTTATCTCAAGACACTTACTCTTTGTCTGTTAACATTACAAAAGAGCAGGTAAAAAGACCTTACTCATTGTTATGTTACAAAAAGCAGGTAAAAGATCTTACTCATTGTTATGTTACAAAAAGCAGGTAAAAGACCTTACTCATTGTTATGTTACAAAAAGCAGGTAAAAGATCTTACTCATTGTTATGTTACAAAAAGCAGGTAAAAGACCTTACTCATTGTTATGTTACAAAAAGCAGGTAAAAGACCTTACTCATTGTTATGTTACAAAAGAGCAGGTAAAAGATCTTACTCATTGTTATGTTACAAAAAGCAGGTAAAAGACCTTACTCATTGTTATGTTACAAAAAGCAGGTAAAAGACCTTACTCATTGTTATGTTACAAAAAGCAGGTAAAAGATCTTACTCATTGTTATGTTACAAAGATCTGGCCTATCCATCATGAGCACTTAGTACCCATATGTTTGAACAAACATTTAATTTTCTGTCGACAGTTGACACATTTGACTTACAATTGTATGTTTCTCATATTATCACACATGTATAATAATTAAAGGAAACATCCGTACATTCTACCCAATAGGAAGGAAAAGAGCGGGAAACACATTCTGGGCTCTTCAAATTGAAAACGTGACAAAATGTGCTCTGAGTCTGTGTCAGAATCCCTGCAGCTGAATCCTGAGCAGACACTGATACAGCGAATGATTCATAGATTGAAGAAAGTGTAAATCAGCTGCTAAGGCCAAAAGAATTATGTCACTGGTCAACTTTAGTACAGTTAATCGTTCTCTAATAACTCATTGCTTTTTAGGTAACACTTTACTTTAAGGTCGCACTCCCACTCGGCCCAGTTGTCCCATACCATGTTGAAGCAAGATTGTTCCCCCTCCCCATCCCCCCTCTGGCCTGCACTCACACTGCTCCAGGACTAACCGGGTCTGAGCACGGTTACCTCTATAAGGTCGTAATACAACACATGCATGGCTTTACATGATCCTGAAGCGTGCTCTGTTTACAAACAGGTAGAACAACACAAAGAATATGAGCGCTACTTTACTGACTTTGTGTCTTATTCTGAGTCATGGTAGTCGGATACAGACAGAACACTCCCGGGATTCTCCATAATGAAGGCTGTACAAATTTTATTCTGTGTTTGTGCTCCTGCATGAACTCTACCGTGCCGAGTTACACCTCTGCCAAACGTGCCAGGACCGAGGAAGTGTATCGAGCGTGAGCACAGATCAGAGCACGAGATGGACTTTTAGGGTGAAGCGTGCTTTGGCACCTTAAAGGTGCACTTGATATTTTTGTGGATATATCTTTAAATTCTGTCAACCATCTAAGAGTAATTATTCTTTTAGGTTTGTGAAGCTGTAATACATATGTGTAAGAGACCTCATAGCAGCAGAGTTATATTAGGACTGAGGTGTCTGTTGTGAGCTGAAAAGGAAATGTGACTGAAACTGAAGAAATGTACATGTCTGATATTTAAGAGTCAAGGTGATGTCTTCTTTCTTGCCTTTTAGAGATTTAATGAAGCAGACAGGAATTTGTAGGATGTACCTTCTAGCAGAATATAAGCAACACTGTAAAGATGAAGACTTTGCTAATGATTGTCAATGATTGTGAGATCTTGGTCAGCGTGGGTCAGCGATGGTCTGCACTTTGTCAGCCATGTGTGTTGTGTTTCTGTGTTGTCTGACCATGGCTGAAAAAATCTAAGATGATCTACAGTCTGTTTCACGATTTCATCATTGTTCATCTATTATAGAAACAACTCCCACCTAACAGTAGAGAAATGTGAAAGTTGGAGACGTATACAGATTCTGTGGTATATGTTCATTTCTCAAAACACAAACAGTCCTCAGAGGGAAAGTTGGTCCCTGTAACACTGTTTGAAGATAAAATGCTACAGGAGAATTTGTGGTGGTGGGTGTCCTGGTAGCTTTAATGCTCTGAACAGTGTTCAGGGACCCATTTTTTCTTAAAGTAAAGTTTGTGTATTCAGTATTCAGAATTGTTTCACTTCTCCAACTTTAAAATGTCACCAACAAAACTCCAAAGTGCACCTTTAAAGAGACAGAAGCTGAAATGAAGCATTTCAGGCAGAGGCTGAAATAAGGGATTTTACTGACGCCAGAATCAGTTAATATTACGTTTTTTGAGCTGCAGATGTCCCAACGCTGCTCAACAGGTGTCTGAGTGAATACAGGGGGGAGTTGTGATTGAATTTGCTTGGCTGTATGAAAAGCAGGTGATGAGGCTTGTGATGTGTATTAATAATTAATTGACTGAAAAGTGAGATCATTCTGCAGCTACAAAAAAAACAGTATTTCTACTTTTAACATCCATTTTATTGTGAACTCTGCTCACAGATTAAATAACTCCAGTTTGTGGTCTTTCTTTTCCTCCTCAGGTGTTATGAAGATGACTTTATTGCCATGTTAATAGCTCAACCATTAACTGAGGAGGGAAGAGACCTGTAGAGCTGGACAAACACAGACTAAGACCCCCCCCCAGAGTCCTCCTCTGAGCGTCTGAAGCTAACATGGGGAAAGTCTACTACATCAGTAAAAATGTGGGCCTGGGGTTGCTCGCGTTGGCGGCCGTTGCCCTGGTTACAATATTAGCTTTGTCCATCGCCTACGACAAGGAGAAGGCCAGGAATCGAGGCACGTCTGGGGATGGGACAGGAGACAGCACCAGCATGCCTCCCACCACCTCCTCCACCCCAAAGGAGCCGTGGGACCGCTACAGACTGCCACACTCCCTCGTCCCCTCGTCCTACAACGTGACCCTGTGGCCCCGACTGACGCCCGACGAAAACAGCCTGTACATCTTCACCGGACGTTCTACCGTGGAGTTCAGATGTGTGAAGGAAACGGACCTCATCATCATCCACTCCAACAAGCTCAACCTCACCGACTTCAACGGTCAACTAGCTAAGCTAACCAGCCTTTCTGAAGCCACGGCGCCCGCCATACAGAAGTCCTGGCTCGTCCCGAAGACGGAGTATCTGGTTCTTCAGCTGCAAAGGACGCTAGCTGTCGGAGTGATGTATTCCCTTCACACTGAGTTTCTTGGAGAGCTGGCAGACGATCTTGAAGGCTTTTACAGGAGTGAATACACCGAGGACGGGGTGAAGAAGTAAGCATGACGAGGCTTCATTGTATTGCTCTTGGTGGTTGTTGATTTGCTGCTACAGTTTTCATCTTGGCGGAACTTTGGGATTTGCCCTTCATAGATGTTTGTTTTATTTTGAAGGGGTTGTTGTACTATATGAGCATTGTGTTAATAGTAAGTGTATTAGCCACAGTAAATCCTGCTTTGCAGAAGAAACTGGCTGGAGTGCTGGCACAGTATCTAAGATGTATGACTGCTGCAGAGGAGGAAGCGAGGAACGTGGAGCTGGGGATCGAACCCCCGACCTTCCGGTTAAGTGACGACTGACGCTACCACTGAGCCACAGCCGCCCTAATATTTGGTGAATCATCCAGTAGTGCTCCAACAAGCTTACTGACAGCAACTAAACACATTTATAATTAATTATTTTTTTTAAATAATAATTATAAATATTATAATTATATTTTAAATAATTTTAAATGTTTATTTTATTTTATTTTATTTTATTTTATTTATTGGTGATAAGGTGAACAAAATGAAACAAGAATATATAGATATGACAACTAAAGCGAGAACAAACAAACAAAGACAAAAAATAAATAAATAAATAAAACAGACAAAATAGATACAAACTAGCAAAACATAAGCAAAGATACAGAGCAACAATACAGACAAAATACATTTAAATGAGATGAAAGTCAAGACATTTATAATTAATATAGTGTACACTTACTTGGACGTTGATTTGGATGTCAGTTTTGACGCCGTCTGCAGCGCTGCATCGCCTGTAGCTTCTGTGCCAGCACTCCAACCAGTTTCTCAATAAAGGGGCCATAATACCTTTACGATTGACAAAGTTCCTTAGTCTTAAATAAATGAACTTTTTCTTTCATGTTGCATTTGAACATTTTGCAGAGTGGTCGCGACCTCGCAGATGCAAGCGGCGTACGCCAGGAAAACCTTCCCTTGCTTCGACGAGCCGGCCATGAAGGCCGTCTTCAATGTGTCCATCATCCACGAGCGAGACATGATAGCTCTGTCCAACGGCAGAGAAATAGGTTTGTTTTAGAAACACGGACATTCAGCTCGGTCAAGTTTCTCCTGCTGCGTAACTCTCTGAGGGAACAAAGACTGTAAAAAAGAATGTGCGACTTTTTGATCCAGTAGATGTCGCCCTTGAGCCCCAGCATGAAACCAAAACAAACTGCTGTTAGGCCACGCCTCCTCCATACTGAAGCCTCCGCCCTCCTCCAGAGACACGCCTCCAACCCCATTCCCTCTCGTCACAGCCCCATAATTAAGCGCAAGCTGTGATCACCTGTGTCCTGCGTTGTTGTGTTAGCATGCTAATGTTAGCGCTCTTTAGTTAGCTCGTAGCTTCACATTGTTGTGTTAGCATGCTAATGTTAGTGCTCTGTAGTTAGCTCGTAGCTTCACATTGTTGTGTTGGCATGCTAATGTTAGCGCTCTTTAGTTAGCTCGTAGCTTCACATTTCATGTAAACTGACACAGAATGAGCGTGATCTAAAAACTCTTACTAACATCCAAATAATCAGTGAGTATGTTCTTCTTCTTCTCTCTAGTTCTTGACTAAAACAGCTTTTATACACAAGGGGAGGAGCCGGCCGTCCCGTCCATGTAAACACGGCTCTGACAACAACACAGCCAGCGGGACTCGAGCTTCTCCCTCATTGTAGACAGTCAGGACTCAGAGACACATTTACACAGGACAGACTTTAGGATTTATTTATGAGTAACATGTCACACATTCTTCCTTCACTGCGGGTTAGAGCGAGTTGTGAAACTCTGGTTTTGTAAATACATAAATATTTGTGTCTTTAGGGAGTCAGGTTCATTGTAAATAATTATTAACTTGGACATGTGATAGGCAAATCATCGACTACATGTTGTTAATGCTAACAGAGTGTAACTGTTCCTTCCTTGGATCAGCCACTGAAGATGCCATCGTCGATGGCGTGCCGGTTAGAACGACAACATTTGAGCCCACGAGGAGAATGTCCACATACCTGCTGGCCTTCATCGTCTGTGACTTCATAAGCATTCAGTCAACACAGAACAACAATCTGTTGGTGAGAAACAAACTGCATGTGTTTGCTTCATGCATGTGGTCGGCGTGCTGATAAATGCTGATCAAGCAGAAAACCACCGTTAAAAAAGACCAGGACCAGATCTTATATCACACATTTAAAACTCCTGAAAGTTTCAGGGTGAGACGCTTATGTGCTGAAGTTTTCACCCCAACTTTAACCAGAACTTTCCTGCCAGCCGTCTGGTACATTTAGAGCGTGAAGTCGGGGTGAGCTGATGTGAGAACAGGAAGTAGGCGTGCTCAACCGTAACGATCGCTGAGCACATTATGAAGCTGATTCTTCAGGTTTTCTTTTTTCCCGCTCTTTTGTTGATGCAATGAATACATGGAACTACACGAAGCATTGATTAAGACAAACATTAAAATGAAAGCATCAGACTTTTCCCTGTTCTTCATGTTGCATCATATTTAAAGTTTATATTCCTGATCCAGAATGAAGTCTAAATCTGAGGACAGGGATTACTTTAAGGGGATTTATTCGGGTTTCAGACTTCAGGATGATCGGGAAGATTTGAGGTGCGATTTCTTCCCTGACAATCGCGGCGCTGTTCCTGACCCGAGGCTGCTCGGGGACCGATAATCTGAACCAAGTTATTTTGCAGTGTGAATCGTATAAAGATCCAATATTAACCTCCACGATCTACTCTGATTTATATCAAACATGTCTGATATTTAGGATTTCAAATCTTGACGATTACGTCACAAAAGGGTCTAGAGGAAGTCGTGACTACAACAACCGCGAAAGACAAGGGAGGTAAGTCGTACGACCAGCGGCGGGATGCAACCCATATGTGTGATCTGGACGGGAGCGTGCCTATGTTCCCACATTTCTAAGATTTTCTAAATTAGACCCTATGTTCCCACATTTCCTTTTTCATAAATTTCTACCAGTTAGGGTTTGTGGGAACATAGGTCTGACCCCATCTGGACACCTGGAATCGACTGATAGTTCAATCTGACCTCCAGCTCTCGCTGAGGAACAGACCGTCCATGATGTCCTCGTCTGCCCAGACATTTCTTCACCCAAACTCATTTAACATTTCCACGTTGTTTATTTCACATCATGTTGCATTTCACGATTATATTCCTGAGCCAGAAGATTATTATTTTAAGGGGGGTTAAAAACTTTTCTGTTTCTTTGCAGGTCCGAATCTGGGCCAGAAGAAAAGCCATCGATGACGGGCAGGGTGAATACGCTCTCAACATCACAGGGCCCATCCTTCAGTTTTATGAGCGGTACTACAACGCAACGTATCCGCTCTCCAAGTCAGGTGGGTCAGCGATGTGTCAGTACGCTCCTTTAAACCTCTTCCTGTGGGGAAGGATATGTTCTGAGGATTTCCTTTATCTCCCATCATTCAGTCACTTTGTTCATCGTTTTGCTGCGTTTGTCCTGTGGGACAGTTTTTTTTCCTGTATGTTTGAGGCTTTTTTATGAGGAACATTAAACAGCTGCTGGCCGCTCTGTGAGACTGAACTCATGAGCTCAACAGCACTTTTTCACTACTGTCATACACGCAGATCAGGCAGTCGCCGGTTCAAGTTTTGAAATCGGTCTGGTAGCTGAAGAGGGGGCAGTTCACTTCCTGAGCACTGATGAGGTGCCCTCATTTTCCCCTGAGATGGGAAATCTTTGTATTTCTAAGTCTAAAAAGGAGCTTCCAGTGACGCAAAAATCATCATCTTGCGTCACTGGACACTGTTGTGGTTAGCGTGGTGAAACTACAACGCTAGTTCCTCATATTTTCGACCACTGAAGCTACAGACCAATCAGAGATCAGTGGGTGGGAACTCACTCCCAAAATCAAAACTTAACATCCGCTTTATTTCTTGGCATGCACCAAAACAAACAGCATGAAGCATAAAAACACAAAACAACTTGCGCTGCATTGTTGTGTTAGCATGCTAATGCTAGCGCTCTTTATTCTGCTGGTATCTTCACACTGCATGTAAATTTACCTGAAATGAGCGTGATCTAGAAACACAGTTAAGCAGTGAGTACAGTATGTTATTCTTCTTTTCTCTAGTCCCTCAATTAAACAACTTTTATACACGAGGGGAGGAGTCAGCCGGCCGTCCCGGCGATGTAAACAAAGTGAAGATAGGACTCTGAAAACTCTGAAAACATCACAGACAGTGGGACTCGGGTGTTACACCCATTGTAGACAGTCATGACTCACAGAGTTATTTTCAGAGGATAGACTTGATTTATATTTAAGTGTGAACAATCACATAGAAAGACTTTAAGGATACCTGCACACTGCTACAGCTGTAGTGGTTTTAATATTTTAAAGAGTTGTAGTTTCTGACTCGTGTCCGGACGTTCTTGTCCTCCTCAGATCAGATCGCCCTGCCTGACTTCAACGCGGGGGCGATGGAGAACTGGGGTCTGATCACATACAGGGAGACAGCTCTGCTCTATGACCCCGTCATGTCCTCCACTGGAAACAAAGAGAGAGTGACGACCGTGATCGCTCACGAGCTCGCCCACATGGTAGGCCCAACCCTATCATCACATCACTTGTCATCACGGTTATCACATTAACCGAAAGGAGTCAGTTGGTTTGGTTCAGGCATTTCATTAGGATCTTCCTGGAAGTCTCTGTGGGAGGTTTTCCAGGCAAGCTGAACTGGGAGGAGACCCTGGGGTAGAGCTCAGTGGAGCGATTATTTATCCCGTCTGGAACTAGGAACGCCTCAGAATCCCCCAGAAGGAGCTGGAAAGTTTGAATAGTTCACATCAGGAATCAGTTCAGAGAAAATCAGGAATCAGTTCAGAGAAAAGAGAAAATGATTTTTTTAAATGGAGAAAAAGTTTCTGGAAATATGTCGTAATGTAATAGCTGTGAGTCACCGGTCTGGATCTGATAACTGCTCATCAACTGATCATGGAGGAGTGTCCAGACTCTTACAGGGTTCTTCTTAGATAAAAGTCTGGGCCTGGTCACTTAAAATCAATATGCAAATAAAAAGAACGTTTTATGATCTTTTTCACTTGGAGCAGTGATAACTCCACTCAGAATCAGAATCAGAATCAGAATCAGGTTTATTGCCAAGTACATTTACATATACAAGGAATTTGACTTGGTGTATTGGTGAAAAACAATTAACAAAGAAATAAAGCAGAACTAGCAACAACTTAAATAATACAGTATAAGAAGATATTACAATCTATAAAATAGAATTTAAAAATATAAAATATAAAAATAAAAAGCACAAAATGTACAAAAGGTGCGATGTAGGAGCCGTGCAGTGGACTATGAGAAAAAATCTTAGTGTGTGTCACTCATGTGTTGACTAACTGACCCTCAGCCTGGTCATACTTCATTCTTAAGAAAAACATAATCATGTTTTGGAAGTTAAATTTAGCCTGAGACTCTACCTCCCTCCATTTCTCTCAAATCAGATGACAGTTCATCACATGGGTGCAACATAACCACGCTCCATTTATGATGACCTATTACAGCTGGACATCATAATTCATGTGAAATCTGTGGTAGGGAGTTTTCTGAAGTTCCTGCTAAATAAAAGTTGGAGTTGAACTTTATCTGTCAGACACTGTCGGAGTTGTTCCTGGAAGAATGAGTTCCCTGAAAATGTCCCGGCGCTGACCTCTTTATTTCATCTGTTGTGTTTTAGTGGTTTGGGAACTTGGTGACTGTGCAGTGGTGGAACGACCTGTGGTTGAACGAGGGCTTTGCGATGTACGTGGAGTACCTTGGAGCCGACCACGCTGAGCCCACCTGGAACATCGTAAGAACCACATGTGGATCTGCTTAGACCTGGAGGCCTCAGTCACCTCTAACAGAAAGACCTCATAATCCTTATCGTTCCTCTGCTGCAGAAAGACCAGATCATTCTTTATGACGTGCACAAGGTGTTTGGGATTGACGCCCTTGCCTCGTCTCACCCGCTCACACGCAGAGAGGACGAGGTCAACGACCCCGCACAGATCAGCGAGATGTTCAACACCATCTCCTACAGCAAGGTCCGCTCCTCACACACCGTCCTACGATGCAGAAACTCAGATAGACACACGGTCAATGTTGCACTTCTTAAAAGTCCTACAAGGGGATTCAAATGAACACAAATATCAAAATACATAAACCCCTCTATTTCAGCCCTGCTCAGAACATGCTTGTTGTAGTATGCTTCTCTGTAGCTTTAAAGAGTACATATTCTCCCCCTCCTCCACCTTTTCAAACAGTCCCCCTCCACCTTTTCAAACAGTCCTCCTCCACCTTTTCAAACAGTCCTCTGTGGTCTAAATGAAACATCTGTGCTGTGCTTTGGTCAAAATATAACATGAATCAAGCACCAGAGGAGGTTTGTGACCCTGTAGAAACCAGCTCTCTCAGAACGCTCCGTTTTGGTGTGTATGTCTCCCCCTCCCTCCACTGTGACATCACAAGGAGAGCACATTTGAAACAGAGCATTTTTCTCTGTGTTGTAAGACTTGTGCAGACCACAAACAAAGGACTGGATGGTTTATTTCACATGTTGTGGGTCAGGAGACACTCAGGTTACCCAAATAAATGTTCAGAAACACTGTAGAAGAGGATTTATCAGAATATGTCCCCTTTAATAAACACAGGTTTGTGATTTAAGTGCAAATGAGCTTTGTCCAACCACGCCCCCTCTCTGGAAGGGCTCGATTGGCTCGGGCTTTCTCGCTCCAGAGGGCAGAACAAACACCTAGCTGTGGGAGTGTCACCCACCTGGGGGAGGGGCTACTGCCCTTTGTGATGTCATGAATGGAAGATCTCCGAAATGGCCTGTTTGAGCACACATTTTCTGAAAAGAAAATAAGACCTGTGTGTGTAATCTCAGCCAATGTCAACCATTTTTAGTTCATTGTCATCCACCTTCAGGCTGTATTACCTGGTACATCCTTGTTTTATTTACAAACTACAGAGAGATACATTTAGAGCAAACATACAAGAAATCAGTCTGAGAAGAGTCGTGTTACAGTCTCATGAAAGCATCTTTCTTTTGGATAGAAGATGAAATCTTCTATAAGTCAAACAAACAAAACTCTTTTGTTCTTTTTCAGGGAGCGGCGGTGCTCAGGATGCTCTCCGAGTTTCTCTCCGAGCCCGTGTTTGCGAGAGGACTCAGTGTGAGTATTAACCTTTTTGTCATCTCTTGTTAGTTCTGCAGCTGTGGGCATGTCTGCATTTGTACTGACTTGGCATGTGGGTGATTATTCAACAGAAAATCCTTTTACTGTAAGTCTGACAGTTTACTTCCTGTTTGCAGTGTTTTCTGATGATTCAGATTCTGACTAATAACAGGTCTTGTTGTGTTTAAAACTCGTTGCCTAAGAGGCAGATGCAGACTTTTTGGATTTGAGACGTTTTCACATTTGAGCTCCTGAAAATTCCTAGATAATTTCAGGAGGACTGCTCCTGCAGCATGGAGACTGCCATCGATGGGACTCCAGCGCCCCCTGCAGGAACAGACGTCACTCAGGCTTCATCCATGTTTATTTACAATCTATGGTTCCAAAACAGCACAAATAGTTGATATTAAAGTATTATTGAAAAGCCCTGCCTCTTTTTTTGCGGCCAATCAGATTTCAAGGATACCATGGTCACCTCCTGGATCCGCCCCTGCAGCTTTAACATCTTGATGACAGTGAATGCAAAGTGTTGATTGATGCTTTCTCCTCTCAGTCTTACCTGAACACGTTCGCCTTCAGCAACACAGTGTACACCGACCTGTGGGACCATCTCCAGAAGGTGTGTGACCTTCATGACCCTCATGACCTTCACAGTCACACACATGTTGTTGTGTATGATTTCACCTGACAGTTTGTCCTTCACTGTGTGAATGTGTCTTTTTTTTTTGGTCATCAGGCTGTTGAGAACACACCAGGTTTGCACATTCCTCACACTGTCCACGACATCATGAACCGCTGGACTCTGCAGATGGGCTTCCCCGTGGTCACTCTCGACACCCGGAGAGGACGCATCACCCAGAAACACTTCCTGCTGGATCCGGACTCTGTGGTGGACCGGCCCTCTCAGTTCAAGTAGGGATCACTTTTACTTCACCTGTAAGTTCACTGCAGTCAGTAACCAAGAAGATGTTTACCTTCATGTAGATACAGCTCAATAGAGCGATCACCACCGAAGCACAAACATAAACGTTATGTTATTGGAATCACAGCTGGTCGTAATAAGACGTTTGTGTTTCACACTTGCAGGCCTGGAAAATATAATCCACAACAGCCTCTTAACTTTTTAATTAAGGGTTTTATTTACATTTAAACATCTCATAACTGCCAATTTCCACATAATCCTTGTGCACCACGGTCCGTTAGCGACGTGCACTATGGCGCCGTTCCCTGCCACTCTAGTTGAGTGAGCAACAAATCATCCTCAGAAAGACAAAGCAACATGTTGTTTACAAGTTTTTCTCTTTATTCCCGCATGATCTCGTGATCTTGTAGTTCTCCTATCTTGTAGTTCTCCCGTGATCTTGTAGTTCTCATGTGATCTTGTAGTTCTCATGTGATCTTGTAGTTCTCCCGTGATCTTGTAGTTCTCCTGTGATCTTGTAGTTCTCCTATCTTGTAGTTCTCCTGTGATCTTGTAGTTCTCCTGTGATCTTGTAGTTCTCCTATCTTGTAGTTCTCCTGTGATCTTGTAGTTCTCCCGTGATCTTGTATTTCTCCCGTGATCTTGTAGTTCTCATGTGATCTTGTAGTTCTCCTATCTTGTAGTTCTCATGTGATCTTGTATTTCTCCCGTGATCTTGTATTTCTCCCGTGATCTTGTATTTCTCCCGTGATCTTCTAGTTCTCCTGTAATCTTGTAGTTCTCCTATCTTGTAGTTCTCCTGTCATCTTGTAGTTCTCCTGTGATTTTGTAGTTCTCCTGTGATCTTGTAGTTCTCCTGTCATCTTGTAGTTCTCCTGTCATCTTGTAGTTCTCCCGTGATCTTGTAGTTCTCCTGTGATCTTGTAGTTCTCCTGTGATCTTGTAGTTCTCCTGTGATCTTGTAGTTCTCATCTGATCTTGTAGTTCTCCCGTGATCTTGTAGTTCTCATGTGATCTTGTAGTTCTCATGTGATCTTGTAGTTCTCCCGTGATCTTGTAGTTCTCCTGTGATCTTGTAGTTCTCCTATCTTGTAGTTCTCCTGTGATCTTGTAGTTCTCCCGTGATCTTGTAGTTCTCCTGTGATCTTGTAGTTCTCCTGTCATCTTGTAGTTCTCCTGTGATCTTGTAGTTCTCATGTGATCTTGTAGTTCTCCCGTGATCTTGTAGTTCTCCCGTGATCTTGTAGTTCTCCTGTGATCTTGTAGTTCTCCCGTGATCTTGTAGTTCTCCTGTGATCTTGTAGTTCTCCTATCTTGTAGTTCTCCTGTGATCTTGTAGTTCTCCTGTCATCTTGTAGTTCTCCTGTGATCTTGTAGTTCTCCTATCTTGTAGTTCTCCTGTGATCTTGTAGTTCTCCCGTGATCTTGTAGTTCTCCTGTGATCTTGTAGTTCTCCTGTGATCTTGTAGTTCTCCTGTGATCTTGTAGTTCTCCTATCTTGTAGTTCTCCTGTGATCTTGTAGTTCTCCTGTGATCTTGTAGTTCTCCTATCTTGTAGTTCTCCTGTGATCTTGTAGTTCTCATGTGATCTTGTAGTTCTCCCGTGATCTTGTAGTTCTCCTGTGATCTTGTAGTTCTCATGTGATCTTGTAGTTCTCCTGTGATCTTGTAGTTCTCCTGTGATCTTGTAGTTCTCCTGTGATCTTGTAGTTCTCCTGTGATGTTTGTACAGATGCTCATTGCTGTGCTCATATTCCAGAAACAGACCCAGTGAGGCAGGTTGAGCGCCGTCCGACTGGCGCTGACAGAACACAGCGCGTACAGACTATGTTGAAATTGGCAGTAAGAATTACAGGGTAACTCATGTTACAATATGATACATGGCCCACAATAGATGAGTCTACTTGGTAAAACAAATCCTTAAATACACAAATGTCAACAGTCACATGATGCTGTCCTGAGAGACCATGACACCAACATGTTGTTTCTGTCTTCAGTTACACGTGGTTTGTCCCCATCAAATGGATGAAGACAGGTGTGGAGCAACAACAGTACTGGCTCCTTAAAGACACAGGTACACTCCTGATCTTCTATATAAGATCATCATTCACTGAGAACTGTGCTCAACGTTTTAAAAAATGCTTTCCTGCCAGACACCCACGATGAGATGAGCGTTTCAGGAGAGGACTGGGTTCTGTTGAACACCAATGTTTCTGGGTTCTTCAGGGTGAACTATGACCTCCAGAACTGGGATCGTCTTCTCTCTCTGCTCAACACCGATCACCAGGTGAGTCACAGAGTATTCACCTGTTCTGAATCCACTCTGATCCTATATTTGATCATGTCTATAAACCCCTCTATTTCAGCCCTGCTCAGAACAGACTGTTTCTGTGTCTGTACCTTTAAATATGCAAATTAGCTGTGTCTGACCACGCCCCCTCTCAGGAAGGTCTTGGGTGTACTTGGTGCTTTCTCGCTCCATGTCCTATTGTTTACGGTGAGAAGGCAGACTCAGAGGGCAGAACAAACACCTAGCTGTGGGAGTGTCACCCACCTGGGGGAGGGGCTACTGCCCTTTGTTATGTCATGAAGGGAAAATCCCCAAACGGCCTGTTTGAGCACACATTTTCTGAAAAGTGGAGCAGGCAGAAGACGGAGAGGATGGACTTTTCTCATCATTGGGGGGTTTTGCTTCAACACGCTTTGGTTGTTTGTGTGTAAACATGTTTGTGTTTGTTTTATTTCTTTCAGGCTTTATCAGTCATCAACAGAGCTCAGATCATAGACGACGCATTCAACCTAGCAAGGTAAAAACAACAACATGTTCAAAGGACTTCAGACTTCGTTCATTCATGTCTGTAAAGAATACTAAAGCTGTGTCCTCTCTGTGTAGAGCCAAAATAATCAACACCACACTCGCCCTGAGAACGACCACATACCTGTCCAGGGAGAGAGACTACATCCCCTGGGAGTCGGCTCTGAGGAACCTCGACTACTACATCCTCATGTTTGACCGCACCGAGGTTTATGGAGCGTTGCAGGTTCATACTCACACCTCCTCTACTGCGATATGTGATGTGTACAATGAGCGGGCATGCAGGTGATGGCAGATATGTTTCACTTTCAGGCGTACCTCAAGAAACAAATCCAACCGCTTTTCGAGCACTTCAAGAAAATCACCAACAACTGGACCAGAGTTCCTGCAGGACACACCGACCAGTAAGACGTTTCACACCCGACAAGGCACAAAGTGAATAAAATGCAATTATTTATAACCAGCTTTCTCAAACCGCCCCGTGTTCTTCAGGTATAATCAGATAAACGCCATCGAAATAGCGTGCAGTACAAACGTGGAGGGCTGCAGAGAGCTGATTAAAGGCTGGTATCGACAGTGGATGGAGAATCCACAACACAACCCGTGAGTAACCGAGCCTTACAGCGTGTCCTAACAGCATGAGACATATGGAAGCGTCTGTGTCAAATTAAACATGATTCAAATGTTTCCTATTGGAGCGTCCTAACTGATCGCGAGCGACGAGAGGCAGACCGCCGATTGGAGCCAGACGGGCTGTTTCCATTTTCCTTTCTGTCGCTCTAGTAGAGGGAGGAGGAAGGAGGAAGGAGGAAGGAGGAAGGAGGAAGGAGGAAGGAGGTGGAGATAGTGGTGCATAGATAATATCCACATCATGACTGAAATCTTGACCTTTGACCTTTGTCAACACCGGAGAAAAACCTAATTTGTTTCACGGCGAGCCGTTTATTGACGAGTCTCTGAGTGTTGTGATTTCAGTCAACAGCTCGTCAAAATAAAGCACCACACTTCAGTTTTTCCACCTTCAAAATAAAAGCACCACACTTCGGTTTGTCCACCTTCAAAATAAAAGCACCACACTTCAGTTTGTCCACCTTCAAATAAAAGCACCACACTTCATTTTTTCCACCTTCAAAATAAAAGCACCACACTTCTGTTTGTCCACCTTCAAAATAAAAGCAACAGACTTCAGTTTGTCCACCTTCAAAATAAAAGCACCACTCTTCAGTTTGTCCACCTTCAAAATAAAAGCACCACACTTCTGTTCATCCACCTTCAAAATAAAAAGCACCACAATTCAGTTTGTCCACCTTCAAAATAAAAGTGTCACACTTCTGTTTGTTCACTTTCAAAATAAAAGCACCACATGTTATAATGTTTAAAAGGGGAGACTGAAACTCAGAGAGCAGAGAATGAAACATTTAACGGATGCAGTGTGGACAGTGAGCCTGCGCGATGCAACATGATATCCAACACTCTCGGCTGTTAGGACATGGTGTTAGAAGACAATAAATACTTATAAAATACTTTAAACTACCGCACCATTGTTTGCTGTAACTAGACATTTTAGAACCTTTGCATGAGAGGAGTGATGCTGTGTGTTTGGTTTTCACGCTCTGATCTGCTGTGTGTCGACCAGCATCCATCCCAACTTGAAGAGCACAGTTTACTGCAGTGCCATCGCGTTTGGAGGAGTGGAAGAATGGGACTTTGCCTGGAAGATGTTCAAGAACGCCACTCTGGCATCGGAAGCCGCCAGGCTACGATCAGCCATGGCCTGCACCAAAGCACCTTGGCTGTTGAACAGGTATGTGTCTGTGCGATCCAGATATGTGGGAGCAGCTTCAAGGAGCTTTGTTTGATTGATTGTCTGTAAGAAAAAACTACTGGCTGTATTTTCATGAAACTTTGTAGAAAGCTGAGTCCAGTATGGGGTTAGGAAGAACCCGTTTAAATATCAAGGTATACAATCAAAACAGCAGGTCTGACTGATGAAAAAGATATAATACTGACCCAACTGACATTTTTTAGATTTGAAAATATACCAAACTTCATGTTTCAAATGTTCATGAACAGAATATTCTGCTTGATTCAGGTACCTGGAGTACACTCTGGACCCGTCGAAGATCCGCAAGCAGGACGCCACCTCCACCATTCAGTACATCGCTCGAAACGTTGTGGGGATGCCGTTGGCCTGGAACTTCGTCAGAGCTAAATGGAGCTACATTTTCCAGCAGTAAGAGCTCAACTCCTAAACATACATTTATATTAACACCGCTAAAGTTTTCAGCCAATCAGATGATATCAAACTTTTCCCCTTTACAGCAACATTGATTTGGTGTTTTGACCTAAAAAAAGATAATTTTCATGGATTTAAGTTTTTTCTTTTAGGTACGGAAGAGGATCGTTTTCCTTCGCCCGTCTCGTCAACGGAATCACAACAAGGTTCTCGACAGACTTTGAGCTGCAGGAGGTATTCCACGCCGTGACTCCCTGAGGAGATTCAGACACAAAGAAAGAAAGAAAGAAAGTCACTCATTCTGCTTCTGCTTTTTTATGTCTCTCTCTCTCCAGCTGAAAAAGTTCAAAGAAGACAACGTCCATGTTGGTTTTGGCTCCGCCTCCTTGGCCGTGGAGCAGGCGATCGAGAAGACCACCACCAACATCAAATGGGTGACGGCGAATAAAGCCGGTGTGCTGACGTGGTTCACTGAGGAGTCCACATGAGGACACGAGGACACTTTAAATGACAAACTCTTTTTTTCCCTGCTCTGGGATATGTAATGAATAACAATCACTATAATCATCAACCACAAAAGAGCGGCCTGTGACAGCTGCTAACAACTGTGCAAACACGACTAAGTGTGACGCATCATCATCAGAGCAAACACATGATGGTCACACTATCATCACACCATCGTACCAAATCAGTGATATGACACTAAACCAAAGACTCCAGAGCTTAACCTCCAGTCCATGAATGACATCATCACTGTTTGGTGGAATAAATATAAGAAACGTTTGACGCCTTGAAATTACCAACAGAAAATAAAATGAAAAACATTTTCTTTTAGCTACAACTTCCTGCCTTTCTACGGTGGTCGGTAGGTGCAAAGGCTCGGCAATTCACTACGTTTCTAAATATGCTGCACAGTTTTCTTAACGTACGTTGTTTCATCTGTTGCCGAGCCTTTGCACTTACCGTCCCCCGTACCTTTCTTATCGTGTAATAGGTTTAGTGTAACGGCGTCCTGAGCGGCGTCCTCTCTGTTGCCATCAGGATGTCGTCAAGTTTTACATGACATGTGAGCGAGGCGTTGGACAAAATATTCACACAGAACTATATTCCTGTCCTGACTTGTGTGGTATATTTATCGCTGGTGCCAAATATCGATGTTTTGATTTTTTAAAAATGAAACGGCTCTAAATAGATTCTTCCTGCTGATTCGACTCGTTACTGCATGACTCCTCTCAGTGGCGATGACGATGAACAGATGGTAATCTGGTAATGATGATGATGACGACAGCAGGACCAAAAAAAAAAGAAGATGATGACGTTAAAGTCAGGGTTGGTCATTTCCTCCAGATCCACTTCTTCAGATTCTGGTTGAAATTGTCTTTATGTCCTGACAGAAATTAAGAACTCATGTTCTCTGAAAAAAGGAACAAAGAAAACCAGTCATCTGTAGCAGCTGTCATGGAGAAAACCAAAGATGTTTTTCTACTTGCATTATGTTTCTGTTTACTGTGATGTTTATTTTACTGCCGTCATTTGTCTCACACGTTGCCGCCTGCTGTGGTGCAAAACACTCTTATCATGAATATCAGACCGGTCAGGATGAAGAATTAACAAAGCATAACCAAGCAGCAAACTCCGGTGTTGAAACATGAAGCTGATGCTGAAGTGTAAAAAATCCTGCAGTTCCTGGAGTGTCCACTAGAGGCTGGCTGCAGAAGTACAGGAAGTCACATACACACCCATTCTAAAAAGCCTGTTTTTACAGCAGAGATGAACATGTTTACAGCCTGGTTCAAAAAACCAAATAGGTGTGATTAGCTCATGTCTGGATGGACACACACTGTACGGGGGGTGAATGTTTTGATGACTCATCAGTTTTGATTTGATGAAGGATAAGAGTTATTCACAATAAGGCGTGTAGCTGACCTGATTGACAGGTGGGCGCGGTGTAACGGTTTATCAGGCCTCTTTTACGTCCTTCAGCCCGCTTCTCGTCTGGATGGACTGAGCATCAGTTTCCACTTCAGTGGGAACAGAGAAACCTTTTGTATAAAATAAATATGACCGTAATAAATGACTTACCCTTTGTGGATGTTTTTACTCCACCTCTTCTTGTTTGTCATTTTTTTTTGGAGGTGATGACATAATAAGTTGAAACGCTAACGGACCGCCCTACCCTCCAGGTACGTATCGCTCTCTCACTTAACACTGATGTACTATCATTGATGAGTGTGAGGAGAGTAACCTGTTCTAGCCCGTTTAATTACAAAGTTCAAGGTAAAAAAAAAAAAACAGCTGATAAGAGCTTTAAGTGACGTCTTATCGCCTGTATGAGACGCCACGAGGTCAAAGGGAGGTCAGACTCGTCATGTGAGCAACTTCAGGGTTGTTAAAAATAGTTGTGTAATTGTTTTCAGTTGTAAGGACTAGTGTTGTAGTCAAGACCACGCTGACCGAGACCAGGACATACCCGAGACCAGTGGGCTCCGAGACCGAGACAAGACCAGGACATTTAGGGATCAAGACCGAGTCTAGACCACGACCAAAGAAGGGTGAGACCGAAACAAGACCAAGACCTCAAATATCACTGAGAAATCCTCATCTTGTGTGCAGGGGGCGTGTCACTCTTTTAGACCGTAACTAAACACCATGAAGGTTGCGGCCGTAACCGGGAGATAAAAATCAAAATGAATTGAAGTTATTTTTACTTGGAGGAAGAGGCGTGGAAAAATAGTGGCGGTCTTAATTTAAAATCCAGAATCCGCCAAGTCTGGAAAATTTCCGGTAAATTTCTGGTATATTTCCGGTATATTTCCGGTATATTTCCGGTAAATTTTCGGTATATTTCCGGTAAATTTCCGGTAAATTTCTGGTATATTTCCGGTATATTTCCGGTAAATTTCCAGTAAATTTCCAGTAAATTTCTGGTATATTTCTGGTATATTTCCGGTATATTTCCGGTATATTTCCAGAAACTTTCCATGAGAAGTTAAGCTGGGGAATTTTGGAAATATTCCAAATCGGGAACTTTCCATGGGAATTAATGGGAACTAACTGGAAATTGAAGGTAATTTAATCAAACTGGATCATATCAAAGCATGAATATAAACATTCATTTTTTTTGTCATAAACAGACATCCATGCAAAATAAAGCAATTAAAAACATTTCAACAGATTTATTTGTAAGTTAAACATTAATACCATACATACATTTTTTTAACTATATTAACGTATAATATCATCAAAACGTACTTCACTTTATGTAGTCCCAGTCTAAAATGTGTTGCTTCAATAGTCTTGTGCTCTGGTCTCGAAAGTGTGGTCCAGGGTTCTAGAAATCATCTTGCCTGTAATGGAGGAATGCCGCGTGCAGGTAGGGGGCGTGACCTCTGTAGCCCTGCAGTAAACAGTTTGCTATGTGCATGTGATTGATGAATAGCATAGATAGTCAAGTGTACCTGCATGAAATCTGCTTGTTTTAGTCACGATTATGCTAAAATATATTTTCCCCAACTTTGAATTTTGTAAATTCAGGGTTTATTTCTGTTTATTCCCATAAACTCCTGTAAATTCCCATGGAAAGTTTCCAACTTTGAAAAAGGTTTAAAAACCCGCCTCAGCTCTCAGCCTGTCGTTAGGTTGACTGAAAGTTAGACTGAGACAGCATTTCCAGCATGGAGACTTCTGCCGATGAGCCTCCGGCAGACGGCCCCTACAAGAACAGACAGGCGACGGCACTCAGGCTTCATCCATTAATATTTACAGTCCATGGTCATCACCGAGAGAAAACTTTTTCAGCTCATGGCGAGCTGTTTATAACAAGCCTCTCTGAGTGTTGAGATTTGAGTCAACAGCTCCAACTTCAAAATAAAAGCACCACCATTTCAGAACGTTTGGAAGGGGAAACTGAAACTAACAGAGCGGAGAATTGAATGTTTAACGGATGCAGTGTGGCCAGAGGGCGTCCGATCGTGTTGAAATAAAAATAAACAAAATAAAAAATATAAATATATACACAATTAAAGACTGCACATCAGCTAAAACTCACTTTTTATGTTAACTGTTGTCCTTCGTGTTTAAGACAACGTGTCCCTCCTAAATCTAAAGCAGCTTCTTTATTTATGGGGATACTGTCAGACTTTTGTGTTTTTTCTCATTTTGCACGAACAGAGTTCATTGTGCAGCCCTTCAGGGTGATTCTGCTGAAACACATCTGTAATCTGATCTGATGAAGTGCCACCTTTCAAAAGCATCAAAACAGAAAAAAAAACTCTCAAAACAAGACACAACAAGTTGAAGAGCAGCCTCTAGTTAAAATATCTGGCTTAGAAGATTGTGCAACATCCTGATTCATGCATCATTTTTTTACACACTCATCGTCGACCAAACGGTGGAAGTGACACATTGCATGACCTGCTGAACAAAAAACAGATTTGACTCCCAACTTTTTCTGACTTTGTTCACAAGAGAGCAATCGGGCACACGTTTTGGGCAAGCGGTCAATGTGCTTGAAGCGAACGCAGATTAAAATCAAAGTCAACAAAACCACAAGTGAAGTAAACCGGCGTCTGACTCCAGAACTCAGAGCAGGTAAGAGATCGTCATGGTTACAGGAGAAATGTTTATTGTTGCTCTGCTCTGAGTTTGTACTTAACGGATGTTTCTGAAGCTCTTCTCAGGCATTCAGCTTCAGAACAGACCTCTGATTAAAGACTCAGAGGCTTCTTCTTGTGATGCCTCAGGTCCAATTAAAAGATTTACGAGTCTGAAAGTTTACTAGACTGCTCTTCACTATGAGGTCGTTAACTCAACAGTTACAAAGAATGGGCCTCTGGAAAGCCTGGCTCCCACTGTACGATTTGTCCTCGATTGTCTAGAAGTCGGGGTGGCACGTCAGCTCACACTGCACGACTAAATCGTTTACGACGCCCGACCAGACCTTGACATTTATGTGCTCACACTGTACGACCCGATTGTCGGGCACGGCAATCGGGTCGTACAGCGTACGGCGAAATCAGGACGGAGCGTTGACAATTGTTAATAAAGTTTCATTTGAAAAAAACAAAGGACGACGGTCGGTGAAAGAGAAGGAAGTGGAAGACAATCGTAGATATATGGAGACAAGTTTCAGAAAAGTGCTGCACTGATGTTCTGTACAGAGAGAAAAAAAAAATGCAGGGTTGCATCCTGCCGCTGGTCGCCATGACTACAGTCCTCCCTTGTCTCTCATTGTTATATTGTAGTCACACACAACTTCTGCCGGACCCTTTCACGACGTAATTGTCAAGATTTTTAATTCTAAATATTAAACATGTTTGAAATACATCGGGCGTCCCCGACGATCGCCGGGCAGATCGGGGAAACGTTAAGACTGGATCTTTGGACCGCTCACACTACGAGATAATCTGAGCAGAGAATCGGGTCCGAGCAGCCTCGAGTCGGGAGAGACCCTGAGATTGTCGGGAAGGAAGAATCGGCCCAAATATCCTGCAGTGTGAGCCAGGCTTAAAGATGTGATTGTTCTGCTGCTGCATGCTTTGTTTACCTTTGACTCCACTTCTTCATCATACCAGCTTCACTGAACACAGCGTCGGAGCTGTGATTTGTCTTGTCTCGGACGATGCAGCCTCTCGGGATAACTGCAAACTTTTTTAGGGTTCTGGTGTAGCTAGCGGTTATTTTGGACAAATATCTGGAGTCTGTCCAGTCTGACAGCGTGCCCCAACAGCACTCAGCCTGATTGTATTGTTTTCTATTGGAATGTGTCCTAACTGCTCGATTCTATTCCCCTCTCTGTCGCTCGTGTAGCCAGTTGAAGAACGAGGAAGGAGAGGGCTCTATAAGGCACCGACGCTCTCTCTCCTCACTCAGCAGAGCTCGTTAGCATGTCATACAAAGTCGAGATAAGGGTGAATAAATAAAGTCCACATCATGATTTGAAGCTTTTGAAACTTACCAAACTAACCCAAGGTTCCAGGTACCCCGACTTTAAGAAAGCTCTCACACATTCTCCTACAGGAGTTGGATTTAAATTTAAATTTAAATAAAGACACCTTTAAGAACACATTTGCAACTTGTATAAAAGTAGTTTATGGGGGTGCCGGTGGCCTCGCCATACCGAGGCTGGGGTCCTCGAGAGCAGGAGGACTGGGCTTGGATCCGACCTGTGGCCCCTTACTCCGCATGTTGTTCCTGACTCTCTCTCTCTCTCTCTCTCTCTCTCTCACTTGTGGTATCAGGACAACTCTGACCTGAACAGACCCTGCGTTTGGACTGGCGCTGACGTTCAGCGTTCTCAGCAGCCC